GAGAGTGACTGAGCTGACACTGAATTACATAAGTCTAAACCAGAGGGAAAACACAGAGTGAAGCTGAAACTGTTACCAGAAAGAACTTAATGTCTTCCTCTCAAAAAATCTCATTCTTTCAAAATGATCTTATTGCAAGAAAGGAGGGGCTGGAGGATTTCCCTCCTCAGGTCAGATTTGTCACAGTTATTTAGAGCTCTTCAGTGTGGGACACCAGAGTGAGGTTGTGCAAACAGGGAGAATTTGTTACTGAGTCACAGCTGATGCAAATGTCTTAATCCAAACTTGTGATTGAAGAAGATCTGACCAGTCAAGGTGGAACTAATTTGAACTATTTTATAACTTTGGGTTGTTTACCTTTTAAAAATGCATCTTTAATAAGCACATCAGATGTTTTATATGTAAAATCTTGATCTGTAAAGTCACTGGTAACTAAAACTATAATAAATCGTCTCGTCTCGTCTCGTCGTCTCCCGCTTATCCGGATCCGGGTCGCGGGGGCAGCAGCCTCAGCAGAGAGGTCCAGACGGCCCTCTCCCCAGCCACTTCCACCAGCTCCTCCGGGAGAATCCCGAGGCGTTCCAAGGCCAGCCGAGAGATATAATCCCTCCAGCGTGTCCTTGGTCGACCTCGAGGTCTCCTCCCGGTGGGACATGCCCGAAACACCTCCCCGGGGAATCCTATGGGACTCGGAGTAGAGCCGCTGCTCCTCCATGTCGAGAGGAGCCAGTTGAGGTGGTTCGGGCATCTGGTGAGGATGCTTCCTGGACTATAATACATATAGGAATTAATTAAAAACAAAGTTCTGGTTCACGGATTTGTTTGTCATTTCATGACATCTTTTGTCAAAAAATGTTTGGAGCCACTGGTTTAATATAGACTTTAGCTATACATGGTATTTTATAAACTTATAAATACTGATTTTATAAACTAAAATATATTTTTATGTACAGCCATAACGTCAAGTAACTGCACATTTCAGATAAATAATGTGGTAAACAGTTCAGTAGGCCTATCTGCCTCTGAGATGCAGTGAAGTAAAGTAAGTATAAAGAAGAAAATGCGATTACTTGAATTGAAGTTCAAGTCCCTCAAAACTTTATTAATGTGCAGAAACAACATGTTTAGTTACTTTCCAGCAACAGAATGGTTTTTGTGATTGTTCTAAACACTTTCAGGCCGAACGCCTACGTGCACATGGACACAGAGGAAGTGATTTCCTGTTTTAACAGCGCTGAGGTGATCAGACCTGCTGTTCTATGGATAGAAGTTCTTGTGGGAAGAAAAACATTCACTGATAATCACCTACAGACAGAGCCGCCGCCCCTCCCTGAAACACGCTTTATCTCTGCACACAGATGACACAGCAGCTCCTGCTTCTGCTTCAACAGCTTTATTTAGCTCAAGAATGCATACAGGATAAACAGTAGAAATAAAAGGAAACATTACAGTATTTAATTTTCTCCCTCATTTTAAATCACTGGGGACATTTAGAGCAGATCCTGTGTGTGGATAACGGGACAAACAGGATGGAGAAAACCTTCCATTGACATGTCTTTTCCTGGATGATCAAAGGCACAGAGAGCTTCGGAAGAGCTACCTAACAGGAAATAACAGACGTCTGTGGCCAAATAAAAACTCAGACAGCATAGAAACATCACAGTATTTCAAACACTGCGACTGAAACATACAAGTCGATCATCAGCTCATACGTGTTGAGGCACAGTTTGTTACAAGTCATAAAACTCAAACTTACACGACAAACGTGTGAGAACTAGTGTTTCATTACATTTCTACAACATATAACAAGCTGACTCTACCGTTTGTCTCATACTGCAAGTTAATCTGATTAGACATTTAAAAATATGATAAAAGGACAAATCAAACTGCATCAAATCTGCAGGGATCAAAATGTTTCATGGTTTGATGATGGTTGGAGTCAGTGGGTTTACCACAGAGGAAACACAGTGATGCGTCTGAAAGTTAATATATTCAACCCTTTCTGTGCCTGATGGCCGCTGGTTAGCTTACAGGGAGTGTTAGGTGAAGGAAACCCCACCCATCTGGCACCTCAGCAAAACAAACACACACCATGGTTTGCAGATGATTGTTGA